ACTAAAAATCAAATCTGTGTGAGCAGTTAAATAGCTACTAACTGGTATTTGTCTGACAGTGTGAGTTATTGCCCCTTTAAGAGCACCATGCATTGTTTTGTTGCCTCTTTAAGAACGACCCCATCTTGGCATAGAACCAAGTAGCGGACCACATTCCACCAGGGCGCTGCCCACCTTAAACCCCGCCCCCCGCACGTTTATTGGCCAATGAGTGTCTACTGTATGCAGAGTTAATGAAGGATGTGGGCGTGGCCAAAAGTCAGACATCTGGTGCATAGACATCTGGAGATGCAGAGAGTGGTGGAGGGGGGCAGAGACATCTAATGATAGAGACTGCTGGCTGGGGAGAGGGAGCAGTCTGGGAATCACTGGGGCAAGGGAGGGAGGGTCACAGGTATATCAGAGAACTCTCCCATACACTTTAATCACCCTGCATGAATGCTATACTGTATACAAAACATATAGCACAGAGTTTAAAGATTCCAAGGAAAGAACACGTGGAATAGAACGTTCTAAAGGAATATATTTATCTGGAATAAGAGAATACTGTTTTTGGAAGGCTGATCTGGACTTGTAGGGGAGCAGAGACATGGAAGAGGATGCTGGGAAGACCCCACCTGATGAAGCTTATGGTAAGATGGGATGTTGGTTGGGATGCTGAATGGGATGACAATGCACACAGTTTGTTGTTATCTGCTGCATGAAAATAACAGAAAATCTGGGGTACTGTTAATATAATGGTGTTATTCCTGCATGGATTCCAATGGCAGCCAGGGATATTTAACACCCAGATGCAAATAACAGTCATGTCATGTGAAGCCGTTAAAAGCTGCTATATCAGTTACTAGGTTTTCAAAAGCGAAATATCTTTTTTATTGCATTGCGTATTGCACCTGGTTTTATTTTTCCTGAAATCGCCCTAATGTTTTTGTTACACATATGGAAAAATAAGGACTGATTTTTGGCCATCTTTGGCAATGGGCGGAGCATACGCAAGCTTCTAGCAACATATCCATGTTCATTTTACCGTAATATTATCATTCAACTTGCATTAAATGACGGATTTACTTACCTCTCTTCGGCATCTTCTGCAATTTTTCGGCGCACCTCATCTGATCTGCCATCCCGCACACTTATTGGTTTTCAGTTCCATATCATACAGAAGGACAGAAAAGGCAGGAGACGTATATAATGTGCTGGAAAAGATAGGATTACGATGACCGCGTATCGAGCATACAATAAAATGACACTAGGTTATGTATGTGTTGTGTGCTTCTCCCTATAACTCCTCCTATTACTCCATATAACCTCTCCCTATAACTCCTCCTATTACTCCATATAATCTCTCCCTATAACTCCCCCTATTACTCCATATAACCTCTCTCTATAACTCCTCTTATTACTCCATATACCCTCTCCCTATAACTCCTCCTATTACTCCATGTAACCTCTCTCTCTAACTCCTCCTATTATTACATATAACCTCTCCCTATAACTCCTCCTATTACTCCATATAACCTCTCTCTATAACTCCTCCTATTACTCCATATAACCTCTCCCTATAACTCCTCCTATTACTCCATATAACCTCTCTCTATAACTCCCCCTATTACTCCATATAACCTCTCTCTATAACACCTCCTATTACTCCATATAACCTCTCCCTATAACTCCTTCTATTACTCATATAACCTCTCCCTAGAACTCCTCCTATTACTCCATATAACCTCTCCCTATAACTCCTCCTATTACTCCATGTAACCTCTCCCTAGAACTCCTCATATTACTCCATATAACCTCTCTCTATAACTCCTCCTATTACTCCATATAACCTCTCCCTATAACTCCTCATATTACTCCATATAACCTCTCCCTATAACTCCTCCTATTATTCCATATAACCTCTCCCTATAACTCCTCCTATTACTCCATATAACCTCTCTCTATAACTCCTCCTATTACTCCATATGACTTCTCTCTATAACTCCTCCTATTACTCCATATAACCTCTCTATAACTCCTCCTATTACTCCATATAACCTCTCTCTATAACTCCTCTTATTACTCCATATAACCTCTCTATAACTCCTCCTATTACTCCATATAACCTCTCTCTATAACTCCTCCTATTACTCCATATAACCTCTCCCTATATCTCCTCCTATTACTCCATATAACCTCTCCCTATAACTCCTCCTATTACTCCATATAGCCTCTCCCTATTACACCATATAACCTTGCCTAGTTATTATTTTTATAATTACAAATAAAGTGGATTTATTAAAGGGACACTATAGGCATCCTGACCACTTCAGCTCATTGAAGTGGGCTGGGTGTAGTGTCCCTATTGTACTTAGTTTTGCAATGTTAAACATTGCAGTCCCAGAGAAACCGAGGGACCGTCGCTGCTGGGAATTTTAAACGAGCGGAGGTAAAGGAGGGGGGAGGCAGAGGTAGCTATAGTGCTAGGAAAACAGCTTTGTATTTCTGGCACTTATGGTATCCTTTTAAGGTGTAATCACTTCTAGTGCTATGGTGGATAGATAATACAAACAGTACAGCTTATTCACTAAGCTTGAAATAGAGAACTGACAAAAGAACTGCAAATTCAACAAACACATTTGAAATGTTTTAAATAGTGCCATTGTATGGCAAAGCAGTAATGTCGCTGTGCTTATAAGAACAGCACTGCTAATGGGGGGAGGTTAGGGTAAGGTTAGGTTCTTGGTTAAATATGGATCGTAGCATTACGGGGCGGTTAGTGTGATGGAGCCTAGGGTTAGGGAGATAGATTTAAAGCAGATCAGTCCCTTTCTATAACAGTTCCCTCACCCTGCAAACACTATACAGGAATTTACTGGGGAGAGTAGAGCAGCAGAGGTAAATAATGTTGTGTGATGCCTTGGACGCTCCCATGTGATCTCAGGTACCTGCAAAGGAATGCTATACAAGCACATGCTTGCTCTGCCTTCCTTCAATGGTTTTGCACATGCGACCACTTGTCTGTCACACCGTGGGTTAACATAATTTACATAACACGCTGGGTGTGTCATGTAAACTTTAAGGGGTTCAAAAATTAAAACCGCAGAGGATTTGAAAAACCTGCAGCTAAAATTTAATTAGCTATTGGTTTGCGCAGAAATCTACGCAGTGACAGTTCCGCTTTGAGAGAACTTTAACGTTAGGTTGACCCACCGCCGTAATGGCACCTGTCATTATTGAAGTCACTATAATGACGCCATGCTTTCTGCGGTCAGCATGTAAAAAATTACTTTTCTTTGAAGAGAAAATAATATAAGGACAATACCGCAAAGAGAGAAAATAGTATGGCTATTTCGGCTTACAATTTGCATATCTCTCGTTAATTCTGCACAATTGCTGATTTTGTCTTTGGCGTCTGTCTTTTTGCTCTGTCATTGTCTAAAGCTTCAATGTGTAATGCAGACAAGAACCGTACATTATATTTACATTACAGGATGTTTTGTCACTGGTTACTGGTTTATGTTTTTACACTGATCCCTACATATACAATAATCCAGGAGATTATGTATATACCGTATGTATGATGTCATTGTATTAATCCAACACACTGGATAGCCACAACCCCATGCTGGCGACACACAGCGTTCAACATTGGGACTGCTGTACTTATTAACTCCTTCGGGGATAACAAGAACCACAAGAATCTGTTTAGAGATATTTGTGTCCTGGAAAAAAAAGGCATGTATTAACTATATATATATATATATATATATTTTTTATCTTAAATAGCTTTGTTGATCCTTGTTTAATAGAGAGCAAAAAAAAAAAAAAAAAACCTCAAATAAGTTACAGAATAATGTCAGCTAAAGACCACAATACAATAATATTTTTAGGATATACTGTATATCTCTGCTGCCAATGTGTATGTGTTATTGGGTGTAAAGTAGTCAAAAGGATAAATATTTTACAAATATTTGACCTTTAATAATCATGTATACTAAAGTTCAGCGTTTGATGCGAAAGACGAACATTATAGTTGAAGACGCCCTGTGCGGATTTGTTGTAATTGCTTCGGTGATTAAAAGGAAACGATATGTAGAAAGTAGGGTTTTTTAAAATATTATGTAGATAATGTATCACAAATTATGCAAAAAAGTTAAATAGGCAGAAAATACTAATTGCTAATGCAAAGGTTTCTAAAATCTGTTGCTCCATCAGCCAGGAGTCTCTCATACTGGTCTAAGGGGGCTTTCTTTTTCCAAAATCTCTCTTCAGCAAATGACCAAGGGATATTTAATTCACCCCCAAATACAGTTCCACTCATTACATTTGATTACTTTAGATCCCGAAGAAGCTGATATTCATCTAAATTGCACCTTTCATGCATTGTTTTCTAATAGACTCGCTTCCTTGACAGGTACTTACACCATAACCACTACCATCAGCTGTAATAACACAGTAAGCCGTAGTATCTTTGATGCATAGAGTACCATTTTAAAACCTTCATACTATTCTTTTATTTTACAATCCTGTTACTAAGGGAATGGCTGCTCGTTACATTATTTTGTTCTAGGAGAACGGAACATTCTTATTTTTGGCGGTGGAGGCATGGTTTCCATATGTCTTTAAAAAGTGAAATGGGTGAGAAGAATTTTCCATCGCAGTTTCCATCGTAATCCTGTTCCCCAAAAAGTCTAAACTTATCACAAGGAGCAGAAGCAATCTTGAAAGGTTTGCAGGAAACAGATGTTTGTTGATTAAGAGTAGGATATTCTGGGAGAGGAAAAAAAAATCCCTTCCTGTTATTATAAAATAGTCATCTTAATCACTCTGAGAAAGTGGCTGCAGTTGGTACCTGGCAGTCTTCTTAACCCCTTCACTACTGAGCACTTTTTCATTTAAAAAATATCTGCGTAACATGTATTTGAAGCAAGAGGTGCATAGCTAGCCTAGAAACACACCATAACACAACAATTTGTGCGTAGATAGCTTGGCAAACAGTTCAAAATAAAAAATACGTAATTTTTTTTATTTTTTATATTTTATAAAAATTTTATATTATATCAGAGACTACTGGCTCCTGGCAAAAAAAAAAAAAAACGATCCTCTACAGGCTGGTAATCATAACTATTATCATTATTATGATATAAATGAGGGTGAGGCTTTGAGGACTAACTTTCATACTGCCAAATATACGTGAAAATAAAAACATTTATACTTGATTTGGGTATTAAAGGGGATGCAGGGTTACTCCAGTTATCATAATCACTGGTTATTGTATTTTATTGGAGTCGTTCTGATACTTTGAGGTTATGAGTGCAGTAAGTTTTTGGGTTTTTTTCCAAACCATTTTCAAGCACTTATTATTAATAGTCAGTATGTGCATGACACAACATGTTCATTTTTGAGTGCTAGGTCATAACGGAATTTGGTCATACTGAAGTGATACTTAAATTCAGTTAAAGGAACATGCACCAATACCACTATAGAGCTCTGTAGTGATAATGGTCCCAAGGGTGTCCTAGCAGATCCCCCCCCATGGTAAGTATGGACCTTTCAGTTAATTCTGCTTTTTTATGTCTCACCACATGTTTACAACATACAGATATTGTATGAATAATGAAAGTGAATTTTCATGTGGTGCAGATGCAACCCATTCTGGTGCTGGAAAACATTTCACAAGAACCAGGGAGACTCTGTCCTCTGCCTCTTTGTACCATATTCACTGCTATAATGGGTATGGTGATTGCACTGTCCCTTTAATTCACATGACCTTAAATAAACACAGTATCATGGTTACTTATAAAACAATCAGGTCACAGACTATTATTAAACATCTGTTAGAAACCATGTGACTGTTGCTTTTGTTTATGTGGTTTAACCTATAGTCTGTGATCATGACTTTTTTTTTTTTCATTTTAAATTGATACATGCTTGTATTGTGCACATTCAAATTATGGATAAGGATAATATATACTCAATGAAGTTCATCCTCTTACGTCTGTCTAAAAGGTGTGTGATATTTTTTATATGTTTCATAATAAAGTAAATTAATAAAGTATGTTGTATAATTTGGCAAAAGGTAATCTTGTATGATACCTCTTGATGTAGTCCAAACAGAGAGGATTCCTAGGGACTTCTAAGTCAGTCTCTACCAATATATCTTAGTCCAAAATCACATTAGGAGGTCAAAATGTCATTAGTATATGCAGAATAAATCATGGTTCAGGCACTCCAAGATAGCAAAAAATAGCTGCTTTATTGGGGCAAAAACAGCAACGTTTCGACCCTACCGCGTCTCGATAATGTTGCTGTTTTTGCCCCAATAAAGCTGCTATTTTTTGTTATCCTGGAGTGCCTGAACCATGATTAATTCTGCATATTTTAGAAGGGAGGCCTGGCCAGCATTGGTTTCAGAGCACCTGGGTTACTTGGTGAGTGCGGTATCCAGTACGTTTCTAAAATGTCCTTAGGAGTCTTTTTTAAACCTAGATTACTTTGTAACTACGTGTTTTGTTGTCGTGCAGGCAAATCAACAATGGCTTCCCATATGCAGAGTACTTACAAACCATTCCTGAGTCTGATGAGAAAGTTATATTTTTGGGGGGTATATGTAAAACATAAACAAATCAATGTAGCGCTAACAATCTTTGTAGATTAAATTTTTTTAATTTTTTTATTAGCAAATACATAAAACCTACACAGAACTTGAGAGAAGGGATTCAAACTACCATATATTTTCTACTCTTGTTCTCCAAAATGAGTTAACCCCCTTGAAACAGGTATAAAGCTTACCTTTATTCCAGCGCTGGGCTGGCCCACCAACACTGGCCCTGCCCCCATTCCGCCTCCTTAGCTGAGTTAATCAGAATTGATCATCTCAGCCAATCCAATGCTTTCCCATAGGAAAGCGTACGTGCGTACATGCTGGCCAATCAGCATCTCCTCATAGAGAAGCATTGATACAATGCATGTCTATAGGGAAAGTTCAGCGCCTCAATGCAGACCGTGGAGATTCTGAATGAATGTGCAGCACTGACCCAGGAAGCACCTGAGTGGCTGCCACTGGAGGTGTCCGTTTTCTCTGAAGAGATTGTGTTTACATGAAAAGACCTGCAGGATCGACTGTACTCACAGATACAATAAGCTATTGTTGTTCAGGTGACCTTCGTGTCCGTTTAATATTGTGTTTACTTATACCCTATATTTTACCAATATGTAACTTTGATGTATGAACAATAAAATTCAATTTAGAAATCACAATTCGTTATCCTGCAACCTCCATCTTAGCTTCCTGTCACAGGAAAAAAAAATCTACTTGTCCAAGGGACTAAATTCCCTACTTCTCCTGACACAAAATAATTTAAATGGCAATCTACCTGTCCTGACACAAAATAATTTCCATTACATAGATTGGGGGCCCTGCCAAGAGCCCTGGGCATTGACACGGCCATTTGCTGAACTGAAAGGACAAATAGAGGCAAAAATAACCAATAGTAAAAACTCTGCTAAGTCACATGACTATGTTTGCCTTAGTTTTGTCATTTGGATTTTTTTTTTTTTTTAAATTCTTTATTTTTCGTGCATAGATTATTCATGTAACAGTTTTCTAGCGATGCCACAACAGCTGTCGCCAGGGTTTGAGTAGACATGTAAATACAATTGTATGGCAGGAATAACTTTGCACATTTTTATATATATATGAGAAGAGTGGATAGTGGTATAGCACTGTTCCAGCGTGAGTGTGAGAGATTATGTTCAGATAGAGACCTTCAGGTTAGGGAGCAGGGGCTAGTGTGCGTGTTAACCATCAGGTTAGATTTTTGTTAGGTATATACATGCGTTTAAGTGTTATCAGCCCTGGCCGCAGGGCAGAGCAGTGCCTGTCCAAACTTTGGGCTGGTTTTGCTTTGAAAATCACACTGCCCTGTCGCCTCATTCTAAGTGTACGTGTCCCGTGTTTCATCTACACTTGGTTAAATCTATGCTTCAGTCGACACCTAGCGCGACCCAACCGAATTTAGCGGCAGCAATTTGGAGAGTAGCCAGCCAGCCCGCGCATCCCACCCCCAGCAATCCCATGAATACTAGATTGTTTGCTCATGGATAGTTATGGGACAGGAGTGTTGCGGGCAAGCTGGCCCCCCCAAATCACGTATGCCACCCAGTCCAGGCTGCGAACTATGTGCTCCAGACTTATTTTGCGTAAGACTTATAACTTATTTTTAGTTTCAGAGTGCTAGATCTATCTGTGGTGTTATCAAGTGGTCTGTGGTGTCAGTCGGTTAGTCGTGAGAGGATCTTGTCAGGGGGCCTTATCCGTGGTCCGTTTGAGTTACTCTCGAGGGGTAGTAGCCCTAACCTAGGGGCTGTCGGGGGGGGATTTCTGTTCTGTATGGTAGTGCATATTCCTTTAGTGCACTGGTATTCCAGCGCCGTCCCTGACAGGCTCACAGCGCGTCATATGGGTGTTAGAGCGTCAGATTAACTTGCTCATTATCAACAAAGCTTAAGTGGCTGAAGGTGAAAGGGTATATGAGAGAAACACAAGAAAATACATTTTGCCGTTTTTAGCCTTTGAGCGGGATGGGGTAGGAGACTTCTCCCCTCATTCCCGTCATGTGGCGTGAGTGTCCCTTCTCCGTGTCCTCGGGGTGAACGGCTCTATCGTCTCCGGGTCCCAGGCATGGGTAGCGTTCTGGGCGTGCTCGGTCGGCAGGCCCAATTTTGGTAGTAGCGCGGCAGCATCAGGTCCTGTAGCGATTTTGTACGTGTTTCCTCGGTGTGTAACCAGGAGGTGGCGTGGGTTTCCCCACCGATATGATACGCCCGCGGAACGTAGCTGGCTGGTGAAGTCACTGAGGGTTCTTCTCCATTGGAGAGTGGCTCTGGTTAAGTCCTGGTAAAAAGTCAGTTGAGACTCCTCGAAGTTGAGCGGTGTCTTGCCCTTGAGTGCCGACATTATGTGCCCCCTATCCTGGGGAAGGATGCAGCGGACTATGACGTCTCCTGCTAGGAGTGTAGATGCCCTTGTTGGGGTGGGTAGTCGGTATATTCCGGCAAAGGTGAGTTTCTTTGCCACCGCAGGAGGAAGTATAGCTTGCGTGAGCCGTCTCACGTAGTGAGGTAAGTCCTCTTTGGAGACTGTGACAGGGATACCTCGGATTTTTATGTTATTGCGTCTGTGTTTGTCTTCTTGGGCTGCTAGTTGAACCTCGAAGTTTTGTTGATTGTGTTGTAGTTGTGCGAGGGAGTCTTGCAGCGAGGTGATTTCTTTTTGGATCCCCTGCACTTCTCTCTCAGTGTGTACTACTTTTTCAGTGATTTGTTGCATGCTTGTTTTAAGGGCAGGTAAATCTGCAGCCAGCAGGCTTTGGATTTCTTGCAGCATAATTTGCATATGCTGCAGGTCCTGTTTAGTGGCCGGTTCAGTGGTACCCTGCTGGGGTGTGGGTTGTAGCCTTGGAACCCCCTGTGTGCTTTGCTCCCTTAAGTCAGATTCTAGTGGGGAGTCTGGGCCTTGTGCGGCCGCCATTTTGGCGGGTGTTTGCCTCTGGAGCATTGTGCTTATATCAGGCTGAGCTGTACCTGGTTGAGGTTTCTGGGATCTGCGTCCAATCCCTGAGATTCCGTGTTCGGAGTTGTGCTGGGATGTGTCCCACTCGTCTTCTAGGAAGTCCCCGCCGAACAGGTAATCCAGGCCGTGGTGGGCTGATGGAAGGTAGGCCCGTGCTCTGTGTTTTGACTTTGCCTGCTTCGGGGTGTACCGGAAGGGCATCGGAAGAATCCGGGGGATCTCCCCCGTGCTATGCCGGTGTTCTTGCGGCTGGATGTCAGGGCTGCGGGCTGATATTGAGCGGATTCGGTCCGTAGATGTCGGAGCCCGCAGAAATGGCGTCCGGCCCGTTTCGTGTCCAGGCTCCGCCCCCTTGTCATTTGGATTTATTTAGCAAAAATTCAAAGCCTTGCAAATTACTCTGAGTGTCTTACACTCTGCCCTCCCAAAGTATCCCCCTTTTTCATAGAGTGTGTTTGCTGTGTGCCATGTATGTTTGGTGAGTGCTGGCAGTGTGTGATGAACAGAGAGTACTGACTGCTTGGTGCAGGTGTGGTGTATGTCACATGTGTGGTGAGTCCTGGCTGTATGTGATGCATGTTAAAATTATAATATGTGTAAATGAGTCAATATCAGACTGGAGCAGTTTAAATGGATTCCAAGAGAAATGGGATTATTTAAAAGTTGCACTGCTGAAGGCAACAGAAAATTGCATTAGGCTTGTCAGTAAAAGCAAAAAATTTAAGAAACCACTGTGGTACCCCACAGATGTGGCCAAAATAGTAAAAAAACAAAAAGTTAGCATTTAGTAATTATAAAAAAAAACCAGAGTGAGGAAGACAGAATGATCTATAAGATTAGGCAGAAAGAGGCTACGCAAGTTATAAGAGCTTCCAAATCACACACAGAAGAGAAAATAGCACAGTCAGTAAAAAAAGGGGACAAAACATTTTTTTTAGATACATAAATGAGAAAAGAAAAGTAAAACAAGGATTAGTTAGATTAAAAACAAAAGAAGGTAGATATGTAGAAGAGGATAAAGGTCTAGCTGACTGCCTCAATGAATATTTTTGTTCAGTATTTACAGATGAAAATGAAGGAAAGGGGCCTCAGTTAGGAAAAAGGACAAATTAGTCATTTGTTACATGTGAGTTTACAGAGGCAGAGGCTGTATTTCAACTGTCAAAAGTAAAGACAGATAAGTCAATGGGACCTGATGGAATACACCCAAAGCTATTAAAAGAGCTTAGTGGTGTACTAGCAAAACCATTAACAGATTTATTTAACCAATCATTGTTAACAGGAGTAGTCCCAGAAGATTGGAAGTTAGCGAATGTTGTGCCCATTTACAAGAAAGGTAATAGGGAGGAGTCGGGCAACTATAGGCCAGTAAGCCTTACTTCAGTAGTGGGGAAAGTGATGGAAACCATGTTAAAGGATAGGATTGTTGAACATCTAAAAACACATGGATTTCAAGATCAGAGACAACATGGGTTTACTTCAGGGAGATCATGCCAAACTAATCTTATTGATTTTTTTGGTTGGGTAACTAAAATAATAGATCACGGTGGTGCAGTAGACATTGCTTACCTAGATTTCAGTAAGGCTTTTGATACTGTTGCACATAGAAGGCTTATCAATAAACTGCAATCTTTAAGTTTGGATTCCAATATTGTTGAATGGGTAAGGCAGTGGCTGAGTGACAGGCAACAGAGGGTTGTAGTCAATGGAGTATATTCAAAGCATGGGCTTGTCACCAGTGGAGTACCTCAGGGATCTGTACTTGGACCCATTCTCTCTAATGTTTTTATTAGTGATATAGCAGAAGGACTTGATGGTAAGGTATGTCTTTTTGCTGATGATACTTAGATATGTTGGGTTGGGTTGGGTTGATGTTCCCGGAGGGATAAGCCAAATGGCAAATGATTTAGGTAAACTAGAAAAATGGTCAGAGTTGTGGCAACTGACATTTAATGTGGATAAGTGCAAGATAATGCATCTTGGACATAAAAACCCAAGGGCAGAGTACGGAATATTTGGTAGAGTCCTAACCTCAACATCTGAGGAAAGGGATTTATTTCTGATGACTTAAAGGTAGGCAGACAATGTAATAGAGCAGCAGGAAACGCTAGAAGAATTCTTGGTTGTATAGGGAGAGGTATTAGCAGTAGAAAGAGGGAAGTGCTCATGCCATTGTACAGAACACTGGCGAGACCTAACTTGGTGTATTGTACACAGTACTGGAGACCGTATCTTCAGAAGGATATTGCTACTTTAGAGAGAGTTCAGAGAAGGGCTACTAAACTGGTTCGTGGATTGCAGGATAAAACTTACAAGGAAAGGTTAAAGGAACTTATAGCTTGGAGGAAAGACAAGACAGAGGGGATATGATAGAAACATTTAAATACATAAAGGAAATCAACACAGTAAAGGAGGAGACTATATTTAAAAAGAAGAAAAACTACCACAACAAGAGGACATAGTCTTAAATTAGAGGGGCAAAGGTTTAAGAATAATATCCGGAAGTATTACTTTACTGAGAGGGTAGTGGATGCATGGAATAGCCTTCCAGCTGAAGTGGTAGAGGCCAACACAGTAAAGGAATTTAAGCATGCCTGGGATATGCATAAGGCTATCCTAACTAATGAACGTATTTTAAAAAAAATTGGGCAGACTAGATGGGCCGAATGGTTCTTATCTGCTGTCACATTCTATGTTTCTATGTTGCGTGCTGGCTGTATGTGGTATGTGTACGTGTGGCCGTATGCGATGTGTGTGTGTGTGATGGTTGTATGTGACATTTGTGTTTGCTGGCTATATGTGGTATTTGTATGTGTTGGTTGTATGTGGTGTTTATCCTGGGTGTGATGTGTGTTGTGGCTGTATGTGATGTGTGTACTAGCTGTACGTGGTTGTGATATACTAACCAATATACACTGTACATAATTCTACATACCTGCTGTCACTTGCTACACTCTGTAGAACAGAACACTTTGACAAATCTACTCCACTGTTTGTAAGTCTTCTCCTCATTTGGGGTCCAGTGGGCAACAAAAGGTGAGGTCCCTACTTTGTTTTATGTTATCTTTTGACTGGGTTGGTATTTCAGTTAAATTTCACAACAGTAATTCTGAGTATTTTAGAAAGATTCAATAGTTATGAAATACCCAATTTTGATAGGGTGGGCGGGGGGTGGAGGTGATAGATTTGCTTTAACATAAATTAAAAGAAATCAGAGCATCACACGAAAGAAAAAAGAGTAACAGTTTATAGGTGACTTTCAAAGTTTTATTCAGTGGTGTGATTTCCAGATACATGACTGTTTCACAAAAAGATAGTGTTCTGGTTCGGGAAACCTGGCTTTAGTAAACGGATAATTCAAACAATCTGATACCATCATATGCTCAACAAGTTTGTGGAAACACGGTCACAGTAAATATAACTTACAATGAAGCGAGCAGACAGAAAGATACATTAGACAAAGAATGTGCTTTATTAAAACAACCGCCAATTTTAAAAGTTTATCTTTGATCAATAAATTGGGTGAATCACAGACAGGTGTATCCATAGTGTGGCAAAAAGTAACAGAGAGAACGTTAAGTATTAGTAAATCCTTCTCTAAATCCTCTTGTTCTCTAAGTGTATCCTGCCAAGGTTTGCAGTGTTGGCTACCTGCTCCTGTTTTGTTTGACTTGGACATTAATTCTGCCTCATCATTATCTTTTTTAAAGCGGCACTGTCACTTTCCAGTGCAAAATTTGTATTTCATAAAGATAAAGTCTTAGAATGACCGTGTTGGAATTTCACTGAAATGTCAACCCAGTCGAGAGATATAGTGAGACAAAGTAGGGACTACTTTGTCTGAGCACTCTTCCTACGTCTGGCGTTTCTTGACACAGGAGCGGAGCTACTGCCATCAATAAGTGTCAATACTGCAGGAAATGTTTCCCTTATCTATGGAGAATTCCGTGATCTCGTGGGATCCTCGATAAACCTCTCAGCTGCACTCTTGCATCTGCGCGATAGTTCAGCAGTGATGTTGGCTTGTGGCAGCTGTAGTGCCAGGAACAGAATAGGACCACCCAGAAGATGATGGCAGCTCCTGCAAACAGTTTCAGCATCCAGCGCGCCAGCGGTAAGACCACTGTTGGGGGTCTTTGCAAATTATGCAAAGTTCCCAGATGGTGATAGTGCCACTTTAAATCAATATTATTACTGTGAGTTTCTCTGACCTAGTTTGAGTTGAATCTAATCTTTGTACGACTGGTCTGTACTGTGTATTGGCCTTGGAACCATTTCGAACTCTGCCTTATACTTCTAAGATTCTACCATTTCTGTCTGTGATCTATCCAGTGTCGTTCTGCCATTCTGCCCTACCTAATTCTCTATTCGCTGTACAGCTGCCGTTCATTTATTGGTTTCATATATCATGTTCTTCTATGACTCATCTGTTCCTTGTCAAGTATTACCTTCTGATGTTTTCTCTGAGCTCTCAGCCTAGTCTAGAGCTGTCTTACTGTATGAAAGTCTCAAATACGAGCAAAATCCAACGGAGCACCCAAAGTCCAAGGGCTGGACATGTTGACATAAATGGCTTTTACGGTGAAGTTCGCATGGACCCAGCTGATACAACTATAGCACCCATCTCGAGCACATTGCTATGTGACCCTATTCTATATTAAAGCAGTGCAGGCTTGATTTTGAGAAGTATTGTGGGGAAGTAAATAACCACAAATACTTCCTTTCTAGTACCATGTTTTCAGATGACTGTGTAACAAGTTGACTATAAATTGTGTTTCCCAACTATAGGTGCCTATGCATTTAAACATTGCATTTAAACATTTCAGTGTCAGGGTGTCTGACATTTTTCCTGTCTCAAGAGATCCTGTTGGCCAATACACTTTAAAAATAACTTTCTGCTTCCTTTGTAAACATTGTAGATATTTTTAAACTGCTTTCTGACTGTAACTTTGAGGGGGGGAAAAATATCAACAAAATTAAAAGCAGTGTTTTCTCACGCTCTGTCTCTTAGTCCAGTCATCTTAATCAGCAACAAAAATCTTAAGGGAAGCTCTGGGCACCATAAGCACTTCAAGGGATTGAAGTGATTATGTTGCCTTGAGACCATTGGTGCCAGGTCCCACATCACTGCTAAACAGTGTACTCGTAGTTTAGTAGAAATGCCAAATTGAAGGTAAGGCTGATTTTGAAAAATTCTCTAAGTCGGCAATGCTTCCAATTCGCCCTACTTTGACCTTAAATGTAAAATTCACTGTGACAGACCACCCGGTCACCCAACCACCTGCGCCCTCTTAAAAGGACTATAATCGGGGGCGGAGCTAGCTGCAGACCAGCAAAGACGCATTGTGCAAAGCTCCATACCAACGCAGGCAAAATATCCGATTTACCGGCGGAGATTGGGCGCCTACCTATCCCATACCTTGCCTACCGGTAGGGGAAGTGAAGATGGGCAAGAAAAACAAAAAACAGAGGCCAGACAAACCTCCTTTCAGTCATGATATCGGCGAACTCCTGTGGAAATCACAGAAGGCCGCATGGGAGAAAATTGCGTGGGGGAAGCTGAGTACTCCAACTTCTCAGAGGATTTCTATCCAGACCTGGGAGAAGGCGCATTGACAGCCCAGTCCACAGGGCACAAAACCAAAGCACCTCCAGCAGGAGAACCGGTCACCGCAGCCCTACTAACAAAAATGGTCACAGAACTCAGGCAAGACTTAGCTGCCGACTGGGCAACCTTCAAGGAGGGTATGGAAGGGGCCAACACAAGGCTTACCTCTCTAGAGACCAACGCAAATGCCCAATACGCACGACTAACTACTCTGGAACTGAGAATGTCAGACCTCCACAAACAACAATTCGACACAGCAGAAAAAGTGGAGGCCTTGGAGGACCACAGACGGAGAAATAACCTAAATCTCAGAGGTGTACCCGATGACATTGGGCTTGCCGACCTCCCACACTACATGAGGCGCCTCTTGTCAACGCTCCTGCAGCCTAAACAAGATAATCTAGGGAAGCTAGACGGCCTGTTCCACCTGCCTAAACCGGCAAACGCACCACCAACCGCCACGGCTGACCTCATTGTGAAATGCCAAACCCACCAAGACAAGACCGCCGTCCTTACAGCGACCCGAGGGAAAACCCCTCTATCATTTGAGGATTCTCAGTTAAAGTTGTTCCCTTACCTTAGAAGGAGTACACTAAGCTGGCGCAAATCGCTTCAACCGAGCCTACAACACCTGAGATCCAACAATATCCAGTACCGCTGGGGTACACCGCGACTCATCACTTTCACCTGCATACCGGGCAAGGAGTCCGCAGGAACTAGACTCACACCTGGCCTGGCTGGGCCTGACCACTCCGCAAGCAGAACCTACAACCACCCTGACCCAGCTAGCCCCCACCACAGTACGGGAATTTATACCCAGATCGTCCTGGCGTGCTACACCAGCAGGCAACACAACCTGAGGGAGCTACACAGAAAGGACGATTCTCCATCCTGTAGGATGCCATAGATCCCGCCACCACACTCAGTGTCTATACTTACCATGTTATATTTGTTATTTTGCTTGTTGGTTACTATGCTAGCACATTGTTTATGTTTTCACAATTTTTATAATCTGCCATACCCAGCCCAGCTAGAATGGGCCACTGTACGACCCCATTTACAGGCTCCCTTTATCATATTAGAGCCATACACAGAGGGGCCCGCACAAAGCCAGGTATAAGTCAGAGAAATTCGCTATAACGCTGGCTCCGGTATTCCCCCGCCCCAACCAAGATGGTTCAGTTAACCTACTATTGTAAATCCCCGGAGGTGGACACCCCCGCTCCCTGGAGCACCTAAGCTAACGCGTCATAGACCGACTTCTGAGTATACCTCATACATGTGTCCAGGGGGACGTATTTTTGCTATATTGTTTCGTTGACTAACATGTTTTTCATAAACAAAAACTCACTCACCGTGATACCATATTCCAGCCAGTAACAACACTATTATTATTGTATGTGAATCGGTCTACAAGATATTGCTCTCTCCTGGTGCTCCTCCTACCTCTCCCAGCGCTCTTTCAGTGTTTCTTTCTCTGGCTCTGCTTCTTCTCCCCAACTCCTCTCTGTTGGTGTCCCCCAAGGTTCAGTCCTTGGTCCCCTACTGTTCTCCATCTATACTGCCTCCCTTGGTAAACTCATTAGCTCCTTTGGCTTCCAATATCATTTCTATGCAGATGACACGCAAATCTACCTGTCCTCTCCTGATCTCTCCCCGTCCCTCTTGACTTGTGTCTCTGACTGCTTCTCTGCTTTTTTTAACTGCATGGCTGCCCACTTCCTTAAACTAAACTTGACCAAAACTGAAATTCTGTTTTTTCCTACCTCAAGTGTTGTTACTCCTGTGTCTCCCTCCCTCCAAGTCAACGGTGCTACCATCAGCTCCACCACACAGGCTCGCTGCCTAGGTGTTCTCTTTGACTCCAACCTCTCCTTCAAGCCTCATGTTCAGTCTATCGTCAAATCCTGTCATTTCCATCTCAAAAACATTGCGCGCATCTGCCCCTACTTAACGCCAGATGCGACTAAGGTGCTGGTCCATTCCACTGTCCTTTCTCGCCTTGACTACTTTAATCTGCTTCTCAGTGGTCTTACATGCTCCCAACTTGCGCCGTTACAGTCCATAATGAATGCGGGGGCGAGGGTCATCTTCCTGTCCACCCGCACCTCCCACGCCTCACCCTTCTGTCAGTCCCTACATTGGCTTCCTATAAGATATAGAGCTCAATTTAAAATTCTGGTTTTTGCTTTCAAATCTCTACATAATGCTGCTCCCACCTATCTATCCTCCCTTATACACAAGTTATACATGTCTAGGCCCTTACGATCTGCTGAAGACTTACGTCTATCTTCTGTCCGTACTCCCACCTCTGATGCTCGCCTTCAAGATTTCTCGAGGGCTGCACCGTTCCTGTGGAACTCGCTTCCCTCCTCCGTTAGATGCTCACCCAGTCTCCACTTCAAAAAATCGTTAAAAACCCACTTCTTCATAAAAGCGTATCAATTAAACTGTTAATAGCTCCTGACTGATTCCTCTTCTGCAACTGTCACTAGTCTAATACTATCCTTACCTTTTTGTGTCATTTTACCCCACTCCCTCTAGCATGTAAGCTCATTGAGCAGGGCCCTCAACCCCTCTGTTCCTGTGTGTCCAACTTGTCTGATTACAACTACATGTCTGTTCGTCCACCCATTGTAAAGCGCTGCGGAATTTGATGGCGCTATATAAATAACATAATAATAATAATGTGAACTCTAAGGGCGACAGCCCACATATTGTATTGCTTTTTCTCACATGCTGAGTGACCAAAAGAAAGAATAAAAAAAAAAGGACTGGCCGGGAACTTGTAGAGGCATGGCATGCCTGACCAGGAGCAACCCTCAAGCCCCCTGGAATTCCTCATCGGATCGCGTAGTTGCAGCGGTCTGGTAAAACTTTGTTGAGGGTGCTCTCCAGAATGACCTATCCCTATTTGGAGGGGTGATAGATGAGGGGGTGAGGCATCGAATGATACCCAGGACTTAAAGGAAGCTCCGTATAGCGGCAGAAAGCGACACCCTTTTAGTTGACTTGGATTTCCCACCCAGCGCTGTGGAACTCTGTGCCGAATCGGAGGATGGGCACGGCCAAAATTGTACTTCCAGCTAACTTGAGCTAGCCACCTCCGATCCAAGCACTTTTTGGTCAGAGTGGACACTCGGAAGAGAGCTTTCTGGGGACTGCATTTGTTTGGAGATGTGGGCACTAGAACCCTGTTTTTTATTAGAAATTGTTAACCAGCGCTGAGGTGTCTGGTCTCTAATTAAATTATCTGGTCAGGTACGGACTCCCAGGCATTCTACTTCACCCTACACTAAGTTTCAGCTAGTGTTTGGTTGAACCCGTTATAGGGTTTAAATAAGGTGGTGAATAGCTAGAGGGGATGATTATAATAATCACTCTAATCACTCTGCGCTATAATCACACTCAGGTCCCATGCGAGTAGGCCGCCAAATTCACTTTGACTTGTCACTTTTGTGAATAACTAATGGTAATTAGAAGCTGCCAATTTCACTATCTGAATAAAAATGTCATCTGCCTGTGTAAGTATGAAGAGACATATGTTAAAGGGTCATTATAGTTTCAGGAAAACAAAGCAGTTTTCCTGACACTATAGTGTCTTGAGGGTGCCCCCACACTCACGGTCCCCCTCCCGTGGCACTGAAGGGTTAAAACCCCTTTAGCAACTTACCTTAATCCATCGCTGGGCTCCCTCGGCGCTCCTCCCAGTCTGACGTCAGCTCCCTAGTGGAGCGGAATGCGCATGCACGGCAAGTGCCACACGCGAATTCAAAGAGTCCATAGGAAAGCATTTCTCAATGGACGCTTTCCTATGGACGCTTTGCGCAATGGATGCGAAATTTGCATCCAGCGTCGCAGATGCACCTCTAGTGGCTGTCTGGAAGACAGCCACTAGAGGCTGGATTAACCCCAAATGTAATCATATGTTTGCATCAGAAGGGTTAAAACTTGAGGGACCTGGCACCCAGACCACTTCATAAATTAGAATAAGCATGAGCACGCTAATGCCAACAAGTCAGATTGTGGATTGGAGGTCAGCCAAGGAGGTGACAGTGTTGAGGAAGTTCACTCTACTGTAGGACAATGGCTCCGAAGGACAGAGATGTTTTTCATCAAGAAAGGAATTATTAAAGGGACAGTGACACTATTTACTACAACTGTTGTATTGCTGGAGAGCTGTGTTATGTTTCACAGACACTCCTCACATTATGGTGTATCCCTCTTTAAGTTATACTGTCTCTTCTAAGAAGGACATTTCGAAGAATGCCATTATGGACCTTATTATTCCAAAGATGTGTAGAATGTCTGGGAGAACTTGGAAAGCGTAGAATGCTGAAAGTTTTTTTTTTCTTTATTGATAAGTTTAGCACAATACAAAAGGAAAAAAAGAGAACAAGATTTAATTTTGAAGTTTATTTTGGGTTTAGTAGAGAATTCAGGTACTCTTCAGATAGCTACCATTATTATCCCACTTTGCTGCTTTCCCAAGTTGGAATCCCTATTAAATCAGGTGACACCCTTCTGTCACTACTCTCACAATGAACTGAACCAGAATATGTCTTCATTTTCCCATCATACGAGGGTAATTCTTCAGGAACCTAATCAAACATAGTCTCCTTTAAACAATGTGACATTATGCATGTGGTTACATAGCAGAGCATGAACACGTGGTGACTGATTTTCCAGATGCATGTTGGGTCCATGAGAGATGCCAGCCCAGGGTGTGTTATTCTTCAGACGTACAGAACATTGGTTGTACTAGTTATGTGGCTTTAGTAAATACCAAAAATAGAAACCCTAAGTACTTCAAGCCTGCTATTATGGTTCTGTTTATTGCTGACAGGGATGGGATTTGACTTGTATCTCGTATCCTTTAAACATTTCTGTTATATGGTTCCTGTATCGAATTATGACGTGTCTATAAACAATGGAAATCCGTTGGTGATTTGTAAATATTAATAACAATTATGGGATGTGCTAAAGTGTACTATTAAACAGCAGGGGGCGTATCTGAGGAGAGACAATAAAATCAGAAGCGACAGATCACAAGAGACAGTGTATCAGGAAATGGATCACACTGATCACAGTGGGCTGTTAGAAAGTAACACGACAGCCCCATAAATCACTTCAAAAACAGATTGGTTAATTTTGAATGTATTTGCAGTTAATATTAATGGACACATACTACATACAACATGCATATGAGCTGCTCATGAAGAGTGCCACCCTCACTGTATGTAGAAACCTTGTGCTTCAGGAAGAAATCTGCAAGTGCTTTTAAAAGAATAGTCTTGATCAATTAAGTTCTCTGATGTAGCATATGAATGCTGCATACATCACACAAATTATTTTTCATGCAGATCTACTAAGTTTGTTGAGTCTAAAATCAGGAGATAGGAGAGGGAGCAGGGTGGCAGGAAAGGCCAGTGGGAAGGCATGGCTGAATCGCAATTAATTTCATTTAACCTTGCGCTACAGTTAATAGCAGTCCTCGTGACACAGTGACAGTCGGTCTGTCTGGTGATACGGTGGACTGATTGCTGAATTCTGAGTGGCAAGATTTTGGCAAATATAGCTGTTATGGAAGAATTCTCTAACTTAGCTATAGTCACAGATTGCCTAAATTAGTCTTAAATCTGTGATTCAGAACTCATTTACTAATTTCAGACTGTAGTGAATTACCCTTACTGTGTAGCACATGTTAAAATTGCGTGATTTGATAAATCTGTTCATGTATATCCGCATAAAGAGACACGTATGCAGAAACTGATGGCGCATATGGCAACCCCATGTGTTCGGAGTTAGTTTAGAAAAAAGAGGGTAGAGTTGGCATACCCTCCTGTTTGTACGGACCTTTTGTATGGACTACGCTGTGTGACATGACATGAAAAAACTTGCTGTATGTGGAACTCATATGCTGCATGGGGAATAAGGTGGAATCCAAAAGTATTATCGTTAGATAAAAGGGACACTATAGGCACCCAGAGCATTGCATCTCAATAAGGCTGTCTGTGTACCATGCCCCTGTAAAACAATGCCATTTTGCCTGACCGGCATTGTAGGGTTTAAATGCCTTTGATGGTTGTCACTCTGATAGCTAGGAGAGGCGCTTCCTCAGAGTTTAATAAATCGTTATGTGGGCCCCTGTCTGAACCTGGAGGTTCGGCTTTTCACGGGTCCTCCATCATCCGGCAGGAAGATCAAAAGATACCCCACATACCCCCTAACACTGCCACAGTCACAACTCCAGCCACCCCCAGAAGATAGACATACTATACATGAAACACAGCCACACCATAAACACAACATACAAATTCCGCAAGCGGCCCACATTACGCACAACTACCACACACATACGCCACCAGACACAGACATACACATGCACGCAAAGACACATTTACACACAAGGAAGCTCAGACACATACACAGATACACAATGCCAGGGACAAAGACAAACTAAGTTAGAATTGCACTCACACGCTCTGAGCCACATACACAGGTACATAATGCCAGACACACAGACATACTCAGGCTGCCCCCACCCATACAGTTCTCATCCTCCTCGACAAACACAACACTCAGTCAACACACATACGCACCACTCAGAGAAACCGATCCCAGAGCTTGTTTTACCATATTGGCACAGTGGAGCATGTTTCTACCATCTAATCGGCACAGCGGAACGTTTTGTGCATTAGTCTCCAAATACTATTCTATGGGAAAGAATTGGACTGGACGGCGAGACAACAGCATGAAAACCGACACGACGAGAGAGAACGATAAGTTAAAGTGTGTGGGGTGTGGGGGGATTCTAATCTGTTAACAAGACATGATAGCGTTAGGAGTACACATTTGTATTATAACTCTGTAGTGTTCCTTAAGCTGATTTTTCAGCAGTAGAATGCTACATACTACAATGAATATTAATTTACTTTCCATAATGCAGGGATAAGTGTTCCACAAAACATGTTCAATATTTTTTTAGGGTACTATTAGGAGACAGGCGATTTAGGCAGCTCTCTAATTAGTCATGTTTGAGTTTTGCCTAAGGCCTTACAAAGTCTAGAGCCACCACTGGGAAGGAGTATTTAAGGGTTAATTTGGAAGAGACAAAGGACATTCGCAAGTTATGTAGTGTGGGATTTTGGAATTTATTTACAGAAATTAAGTGAGGAGGGGGTTTATTAATTACAGGACAGGGAGGCAGGTGAGATTTCATGGTATAGGCAGGGCCGGTGAGTCCATAAGGCGGCACAGGCGGCCGCACCAGCTCTGGGGGCGCAAAATTCCAGTGATCGGCAGGAGGGAAGTGCTCCCTCCTACCAGGCCACCTTCTGGATCCCTGGCGCGGCGTGCGGCTGAATTGGAATCCGAGGCAGCGAGGGAGCTCTCTGCTCTGCTCCCTCACGCGCCTTTTGCTGATGCTGGGAGCCGGAATATGACGTCATATTCCGGCTCCCGGCATCAGTAAACAGCCCACGAGCAGAGCAGAGAGAACACAGCTCCCTCGCCACCTCGGACTCCAATTCAGCTGCACGCCTATTAATAATTAGTGTGTGTGTCTGTGAGTGAGTGTGTGAGTGTAAGTGTGTGCATGTGAGTGTGTGTCTGTCAGTGTGTGTTTGTCAATGAGTCTGTCAGTGTGCGTGTGTCTGTCTGTCAGTGTGCATGTGTGTGTCTGTCAATGAATGAGTGTGTCAGATAAGTGAGTCTGGCTGTCAGAGACGTCTGTGTGTTTGTCATTGAGTGTGTGTGACTGTCAGTGTCTATAGACCACTGAGTGTAGCGTGGCCAAGCGGAGCTCAGCCACGTTACAAGAAAGGTATGAGGCACACCAGGAAGGGTAGGGGACCACTATGGGGGTGAGTGGTGCACCAAGGGACAGGGAGAGGAGGGTAGAGACACAATAAGGAACAGGAAAAGGAGGGAGGAGGGGAGAGGAACACTAAGGGACAGGAAAATAAGGGGAGAGAAGCACTAAGGGACAGGGAACAGAGGGAGGAGGGGAGAGGAACACTCATGGGACAGGAAAAGGAGGGGGAGGGGAGAGGACACTAAGGGATGGGGAGGGGAGAGGGGCTGGATGTGAAAGAAACACAGCGAGGCTTGAGAAGGGGAAAAAGAGTCACACAGAGGGGCTGGGGGGGAAAGAGATACACACAATGGAGCTGGGAAGAGTAAAAGACACAAAGGGGCTGGGAGAGAAGGAGTCACACAAAGGGGCTGGGAGGAGTAAGACACACAAAATGTGGGAGGATGTAAGCGTTATACAAAGAGGAGAGATAGGAGACACACAAGGGGAAAAATATGAGATAAAATACACTAAAGGGAGTAAGATAGTTAAAAGACGGGATAAGAAACACAAAAGGGAGGTTAAGAGGCACACAGGTTAAGATGTTTTTTGGGAGGGGGCGGAAAAATGCATTTTCGCCTATGTACCCAAAATTCTTTGCACCAGCCCTGGGTATAGGATTAATAAATTAACTATAAAGAAACGTCTAATGTAAGGATTTATTTTCAGACACCAGTTAGAGAGAATGAGCACAATTATCACTGTGTATAAATGGGATTGCCTGTAAAGTGAGCTGTCTGGTTACAAAGAATGAGGAGGTTTTTAACAATATCCCAAAAAAGCAGCCCATTTGCTCCACCCCATTCCCATGCATCTGCAAGATGTGCAGTTTCTCCTCTCTGTTTGTTTCACTCTTTCACTAATGCCATCCCCCTTTCTTTCACTCCTAAACCTGACACTCGATAGACCAGTTTGGTAGACACAGAGGCTAGGGAGGGGTAATTGGGTGTTGGGCACCAGCTGACATGGGTGGGGGCACAGAGATGGAGGAGGAGGGAGAGGCTGGTAGCAGAGGACCCGGGGGAGGGGAGTGAAAGGCACAGAGGGGTAACAGGCAGAGGGGAGGGGGTTGATACAAGGTGGGGAAGGACTGCACGGCTAGGAGCAGCATGGGCGACCAGGAGAATTATTATGGCAAGCATGGTAAGTGAGGGAAGGCCCTTTATTGCCATGGATGCGTTTATAGAACGCTGGGATATTCTGCAGAGCTGGGTGCACGGGGTGGGTTTAAATAACTTAGTGTGATGGACAGTGACAGTGGGGTATGAGTGCTTGGATTGCAGGATTCTAACCTGAGAATGCAGAGTGATTTGCTTGTGGTGTTAGCAGCAAGGGAGTGGTTGTAAACAATGATATTGATAGGATATAATAGGCGGATTTTAAAAGCCCAGCACTGTCTCAGCCTGTCCTGATAATCTGCAGTCAGGAGGTCTCTGTATATTATATATAAACCCAGCACTGTCTGAGCCTGTCCTGATAATCTGCAGTCAGGAGGTCTCTGTATATTAGATATAAACCCAGCACTGTCTGAGCCTGTCCTGATAATCTGCAGTCAGGAGGTCTCTGTATATTAGATATAAACCCAGCACTGTCTGAGCCTGTCCTGATAATCTGCAGTCAGGAGGTCTCTGTATATTAGATATAAACCCAGCACTGTCTGAGCCTGTCCTGATAATCTGCAGTCAGGAGGTCTCTGTATATTATATATAAACCCAGCAGTGTCTGAGCCTGTCCTGATAACCTGCAGTCAGGAGGTCTCTGTATATTATATATAAACCCAGCGCTGTCTCAGCCTGTCCTGATAATCTGCAGTCAGTAGCTCTCTGTATATTATATATAAACCCAGCGCTGTCTCAGCCTGTCCTGATAATCTGCAGTCAGGAGGTCTCTGTATATTATATATGAACCCAGCGCTGTCTCAGCCTGTCCTGATAATCTGCAGTCAGGAGGTCTCTGTATATTATATATAAACCCAGCGCTGTCTCAGCCTGTCCTGATAATCTGCAGTCAGGAGGTCTCTGTATATTATATATAAGCCCAGCACTGTCTCAGCCTGTCCTGATAATCTGCAGTCAGGAGGTCTCTGTATATTATATATAAACCCAGCGCTGTCTGAGCCTGTCCTGATAATCTGCAGTCAGGAGGTCTCTGTATGTTCTATATAAACCCAGCACTGCCTGAGCCTGTCCTGATAATCTGCAGTCAGGAGGTCTCTGTATGTTCTATATAAACCCAGCACTGCCTGAGCCTGTCCTGATAATCTGCAGTCAGGAGGTCTCTGTATGTTCTATATAAACCCAGCACTGCCTGAGCCTGTCCTGATAATCTGCAGTCAGGAGGTCTGTTCTATATAAACCCAGCACTGCCTGAGCCTGTCCTGATAATCTGCAGTCAGGAGGTCTCTGTATGTTATATATAAACCCAGCACTGTCTGAGCCTGTACTGATAATCTGCAGTCAGGAGGTCTCTGTATATTATATATAAACCCAGCACTATCTGAGCCTGTCCTGTTAATCTGCAGATACAAGCCCAGCACCTGTACTGATAGGTCACTGTACGTTCCGTGTAAATTCCAGATGTAAAGTGATAGTGATTCACTTGGATTAAGATCTACTCCAAAGCAGCTGGTCCAGGAATCAGTGAAGAGGCTTGGTGATAAGAACTCTAATTACTCCTACACCAGGAGATTATATATATATATATATATATATATATATATATACACAAATTGGAATATTAATTCATGGGAGTTCCCATGAGCCCCCGTAGTGTAAGTGACCATTTTGGGTGCAACTTTTTAAAATTAAAATCGTTGGGGGGGGGAGGAGGGGATACTTCAAATCTAGTGGAGTTTATTTACTAAACTTGGAATATTTGGCTCCGTTGCGGATCTCGAAAAGGAAATATTTAAATTCTATGAATTAACAAAAGAATTACATATTTTAAAATTTGAAAAATAGCAGAGTGGGAGAATTCTTCAGTAAACCTCAAAGCTTGTGTTTATTCACTAAACCCCAAAGTTCTGTGAATTGAGAAATGAACTGCAACATTTATGAAAAAATATAGCCTGGATTTTGAATCTATGTTCAGTTCAGTATATTTTCCTTGGTTTTTTTTTATATAAGAGCTGTACAGCTGATTTTGTGATTCTGTAAATGATATTAAATACAAATTGCCAAATTTTATTCTGTCTAAAAAATGTTTCCATTTTCTGGGAACTTTGTATACAAGAGAAATACATAGGGTTATTCACTAAGCTCTGAAAAGCTTTTTGGTAATATTTTCCTCTGTTTTATTTTGTTTTAAATACTTTTCCCCCCAGGTAGTTTCTTGCTGCTTGCTTGCACATCTGAATGCAAATATCATGGATTTCTGGGGGGGGGGAAATCTTACCTATATTCCGCCAATTTGGACGCAGTTTATCAGAGTTTGATAAATATTTACATTTATCAAAATCTCTCTCTTTCTGACATTTGTTCCTCTGAACTAAACAAGCACATTTTGCGTGATTTAAATTAAACTCTGAATCACTTAGATTAACTAAGAGGGCTATTTACTAAGCTCTGACTTTTTGGAATTAACTATGAATGGGAAAACAGAGGCGGTTGATCTAGAAAAATGATGCAGCTTAGCCGTAGTCAGAGCTTTTTCGTTACATTTTTTTTTTTCATTGTTTCTTTTTTGACATTTTGGATTTAATTCACAAAGTCAGTAATATTGACATTTTGGCCAATGATTCTTTGGTGAATTCTCAACAATTTCCAGTTAAGACAATTTATTATGACTTATTCTCTAAACAGTGGATTGTAGCAAATTCAAAATTGCAAACGTAAACTAAAATAGATAATTTAGGAAAATTGTCCATCTTCGCTAAAGTCACCGTGCAGCTGTTTTTGTCACTAAAATTTGGTTACTCATATTTCGACTTGCTACAATTCAGAGTTTAGTATATAAACATCCCTACAAAGGCACTTCCTTGCTCATAGAAACCTCTATACTACTACGGTGTCTATGGCACCTACTGATACAGTTATGTCAGCGAATGAGGCTGCTGGCTGCTTCTGTTACTTAATCTCAGTCCCATGTAATCACACTGGGTAGCTGAGGTCACCAGTGTAACAGCTGCATTATGGAAATCTTTCAGATTAGAAGGATAAAAGTAAGACTTATGTATCTGATCTTTAGTTTGAAATTTAAAGGCCATTTCTTTGGAAAGAGAATTCATATTTCCAATCACGTATGTTTATGATTCATACACTAAACAACAAACTAGCAAATTGCAATCTATATTACTGTACGCAAGGCAGGTTACACTTCTCAGCGTAAGAACTACAGGAAATCTGGATGGGGGCATCCTTTCATAACCAATTTAATTCCAGCCCCTTTAGGAGCATACGTTAAACGATAAATGATATATTATCACTGGAGACTTTTTTAGTTTCAGTTGATTGGGATATAGTCCTCTTTAAGTTACATACATATGTTTTATTCTTATTTTAAATGGATACTATTGTGTTATTAAAACGAACCTGTATTTCTAATGCTATAGCGATCTTCTATTTATTTAGACTCAGGGCCCCTAGATCCTAAAGAAAACAAATTGTGGAAAAAGGTTTTATTTTCCTTTGTGGTTTTTTTCTCGCAGCGCCAAGAACCAATTTCTCACAGTGGAGATCTGCATCCGGCAGGCAGCCACTGAAGGGGTATTTAACCCTGAAATGTAAACAGTGCTGTACATTGCAGGGTTAAACCTAAAAGACCACTGTACCCTGACCACCTCAATGAGATAAAGTGCCTTTACTGGTCCTTACAACCGTGAAACATATGATCCAAATTTCTACACATGGATAACTAAGTGGGAATGTTAAAGGGAAACTATAGTGCCAGGATAACAAAAGATCCCTACAGTGCCCCACTTCTGTCACTTACCAGCGCCGATGTCCCTACGAGCTAGTTTGGGCTGCCTTCGCTCCCCGTCGTTGATGTCAGCTGGCAGGGGAGATCTAATGGGCATGCGTGACAATGGCCACACTCGCATTAGTATTTCCCTATAGGAAAGCGTGTATAATGCTTTCATATGGGGTTTTACATGACGCTGGATGTCCTCATGCGAAGCGGCAAAATATTAAATCCCACGATCTCCGCTGGTTCAGAAGGTAATCCACAGTCAAGCGCTGCAAAGTAAGGCAATATCCCAAATCTCCCAGTAACCAGACGAAACACAGTTCTGAGAGTCAACTGAGGCTTTATTCACAGGCTCCACAATTTATACAATTCCCCATGCAAGGTGTTTCCTGAATCCTATTCCAGGGGTATTCCAGGGGTGGACTACGTGGGGAACTTACAGTACAGAGCATTTCTCCCATCAGGCACTGCTGCACGAGAGGGATCCTCCCACTGGAATGTACCGTTAAGTGGATTATCCCTCCGTGCAGCAGAACCAGCAATTTACATTAAAAAATACAACTTTTCGAATATTAGGTCTATTTGCACGAATGGACGTTCGGTAGATAGCTGGGGTCTGAGCGCATCATTCGTGAGATTACCGCTCAGATCCCAGCTAAAACCATGCACTCGACGACCAAACACCGCTGGAGGAACAAAGGATCCAAGATGGCCGACCGCCGCGTGGTCGGAAATCGACCGACGGCCACCTAGGAGTGCATCTAATTACTGATTGCAACATTGTTGCAATCGGTTAACAAGCGCCACACGTCTCTTAATGTGTGGGCTATTACAGGGGGGTTTATTCGGTTCACGAATGGCCCGCAAAGGTGCCATTCGTGAAACGAAATGACATACAGCTATCTGCTTTCGGCAGATAGCCAATGCAGGCAATACAACACTATACAGTCAGCATACATTACACCCAGGAACATACACATCCCCCCAACCATACAGGCAACCCTTAAAGCCATAGTCTCTGTATAATGTGCAAGTGGCTAGGTCTGCCACAAGGACGTCCATCATAGGGCAACCAAAAATCGCCTAACGATCTGCAAATTCCTCTGGTAGACAGCCACTAGAGGTGGAGTTAACCCTGAAATGTAATGATTGCAGTTTCTTTAAAGCTGCAATAATTACCTTTGCAGGCTTAAGGGACCTGGGAATATGTACCCAAACAACTTAATTGAGCTGAAGTGGTTTGGGTGCCTATAGTGTCCCTTTGAAGCGCTCAGCCCTCCCCACTAAATTTTCTGTGGGGTATTTGTTCCCCCAAGTTCATTATTCCCACAGAAAGAGCTATATTTGATTTGTAAAAAATTGCCAATTTGCTCTACTGTTGATACAATTAACTATTTAGTGAATAGACCCCTAGAAGGGTACACTGCTTAAATCAATAGTAACAATGAAAAGTATAATGATTTTGTTTACCTGCAAGGTTCCTTATTTATTGGTTATCTTCTCTTTCTCTCCCTACCCTCCAACCCCCCCCCCTTTTATTTATATATATATATATATATACATACATACATACATACATACATACATACATATACACACACACAATACAAAAGTTCCTTGCACTCACGCTTGATGTAGTCCAGTGTGCCTTATTAGGCTTGCCGGGTGCCAGTCTTTTAGGGATATTAGATGTAGTAAATGAAGAAAAGCAGGCTGCACTCACGGGCTTAAGAATTCAAAACGTGGTATTTATTCCATCAAAAATAGAGAATATTTTTTGATGGAATAAATACCACATTTTGAATTCTTAAGCCCGTGAGTGCAGCCTGCTTTTCTTCATTTAAAAAAATAAATATATATATATCTCTATCTCTCTCTCTCAAAATCGTGTAATGTATCAATGAAAAAAAGAACACTACAGACATGAAATCACCCATAAGTCTACAGGGAGTGCAGAATTATTAGGCAAGTTGTATTTTTGAGGATTAATTTTATTATTGAACAACAACCATGTTCTCAATGAACCCAAAAAACTCATTAATATCAAAGCTGAATATTTTTGGAAGTAGTTTTTAGTTTGTTTTTGGTTTTAGCTATGTTAGGGGGATATCTGTGTGTGCAGGTGACTATTACTGTGCATAATTATTAGGCAACTTAACAAAAAACAAATATATACCCATTTCAATTATTTATTATTACCAGTGAAACCAATATAACATCTCAACATTCACAAATATACATTTCTGACATTCAAAACAAAACAAAAACAAATCAGTGACCAATATAGCCACCTTTCTTTGCAAGGACACTCAAAAGCCTGCCATCCATGGATTCTGTCAGTGTTTTGATCTGTTCACCATCAACATTGCGTGCAGCAGCAACCACAACCTCCCAGACACTGTTCAGAGAGGTGTACTGTTTTCCCTCCTTGTAAATCTCACATTTGATGATGGACCACAGGTTCTCAATGGGGTTCAGATCAGGTGAACAAGGAGGCCATGTCATTAGATTTTCTTCTTTTATACCCTTTCTTGCCAGCCACGCTGTGGAGTACTTGGACGCGTGTGATGGAGCATTGTCCTGCATGAAAATCATGTTTTTCTTGAAGGATGCAGACTTCTTCCTGTACCACTGCTTGAAGAAGGTGTCTTCCAGGAACTGGCAGTAGGACTGGGAGTTGAGCTTGACTCCATCCTCAACCCGAAAAGGCCCCACAAGCTCATCTTTGATGATACCAGCCCAAACCAGTACTCCACCTCCACCTTGCTGGCGTCTGAGTCGGACTGGAGCTCTCTGCCCTTTACCAATCCAGCCACAGGCCCATCCATCTGGCCCATCAAGACTCACTCTCATTTCATCAGTCCATAAAACCTTAGAAAAATCAGTCTTGAGATATTTCTTGGCCCAGTCTTGCGTTTCAGCTTGTGTGTCTTGTTCAGTGGTGGTCGTCTTTCAGCCTTTCTTACCTTGGCCATGTCTCTGAGTATTGCACACCTTGTGCTTTTGGGCACTCCAGTGATGTTGCAGCTCTGAAATATGGCCAAACTGGTGGCAAGTGGCATCGTGGCAGCTGCACGCTTGACTTTTCTCAGTTCATGGGCAGTTATTTTGCGCCTTGGTTTTTCCACACGCTTCTTGCGACCCTGTTGACTATTTTGAATGAAACGCTTGATTGTTCGATGATCACGCTTCAGAAGCTTTGCAATTTTAAGAGTGCTGCATCCCTCTGCAAGATATCTCACTATTTTTGACTTTTCTGAGCCTGTCAAGTCTTTCTTTTGACCCATTTTGCCAAAGGAAAGGAAGTTGCCTAATAATTATGCACACCTGATATAGGGTGTTGATGTCATTAGACCACACCCTTCTCATTACAGAGATGCACATCACCTAATATGCTTAATTGGTAGTAGGCTTTCGAGCCTATACAGCTTGGAGTAAGACAACATGCATAAAGAGGATGATGTGGTCAAAATACTCATTTGCCTAATAATTCTGCACTCCCTGTAAAGAGAGGGCAAGGATAATTATTGTGGAGGAGTAGGCAGCTGTATGTAAGATGCACAATATAAAGACATACCTGCATACTGCATTTTGGCAGTATGGAAACACTGCTGGAATAATTTGAATAATTAATTAGATTTTTTTTTTTAAATGGTTAGTGTAGATTTTCATTATGTTAAAATAGTTGTATCATGAAAATGGCTGTAGATGAATAAATTGTACTTGGGCAGCATTAATCTAATGCATGCACACAAATCCTTTACTATGCAGGTCATGTTACCAGCGCTAAGTCACGCTGCGGTGATTAGTTGAATAATCAATGCCATGATGTCAAGAACATGACTCCTCCATTACTGAAATATGTATGTACATCTCAAAGCCTTTTCCCATTGGAGCTGCTGGAGAGTTCTTCCATGGCAAAGTTTGAACGTCTTCAAATCCTAATCCATTGGATTCAATGCCTCCCTTTTGAGAAGCATTTGATTGGATAAGTTGCGGCACTTGCTGCGCATGCTCGTCTCTTCCTTTTGTTTTTCCCCAAAATTTTATTGGAGCTCCTGATTTTAAATATGTAGGAAAATGGGAATACTTGTTTGTATTCCTAAGGCTGCAGAATTCCTGTTAGAAATACAAGCTGAAAAAATTATCTACTTCAGCTATTTCTCCAACTTGACCATTCTGGCCCACAATGCAATTCTCTTCTCAAGTGATGATTTAGTATATAAACCTCCAAGGAATGTGAACCGGCAGTGCAACAGAATTATAAATATACATGCTATAAGGTGTGTAAATTTTTATATGTGGCAGGCTTATGCAATGTATGATCATATAATGTAACTAAACCCCCATTATTTTTGCCTAGATTAGGTGTTTTTAAAAAAACTAATAAAATCTTTCAACATTGAAGTTGCTGTTTAGTGGATAGGTGAGTGCGCTGGATCTTGTGTTTTGTATTATTTGGCCCCCAGCAGCACCCCCATTTATGCATGTTCAGGTGAGTGCAGCCAACCCCCCCTTGTTTCATATATGTGTATATATATATATATATATATATATATATATATATATATATATATATATATATATATATATATATATATATATATATATATATATATATATAAGCATTTTTTAAGTTTTTGACCTATGAATTGCAAGTGGCATTCCAGGATTCCATTGTTTAGGAAAAGAGTTAACCAAAAAAAATAAAAATCTTTTTACAAATAAGAATTTAAACAATAATTGTCAGAAACTGTGAGATGTGCAAGAGGACACATTGAGGTCTATGGAGGATCATAGGTTCCTCCATAGAAAGAGCTTAATATCCTTACAGCTATCACTAGTAACAAAAGGTTTGATGGCGGTAATTCTGAGACAAAGTGGTGATATTCCAACACAGTCAATGTGAAGAATTCACAAAGATTCTATTTTTTTTTTTTAATGAAATATTCATTTTGGATTGGGAGGGTTGACAAAAGTAGTGCCAGGAAAACAGAGCTGTTTTCCCTGCACTATAGGTTTTTATGGAGCCCCCCTCACTCACGTCCCCCCTCCCATGGGATTGAAGGGGTTAAAACCTGAAACCAGCGCCGATGTCCCTCAGCCCTGGGTCAGGCCCTGCCCACACTCCTCCCACGTAATGCGCATGCTTTCCTATGGGTAAAATCTGACCCTGGAGGTCCTCATGCTGAGCGCGAGGATGTCTAGCATCAGATACTGGACAAGAGGTCTGTTTGGATTCCGGGAGCCGTCTGGTGGCTGTTTGGTAGACAGCCCCTAAGGGCAGACTTAGAGCTACAATGTAAACATTGCAGTTTCTCTGGAACTAAAATGTTTGACATTGCAGCACTACGTGCACTAGGGACACTGCACCCAGACCACTTCAATTAGCCGAAGTGGTCTGGGTGCCTACAGTGTCCCTTTAACCCCTTAAGGACACATGGCATGTGTGACATGTCATGATTCCCTTTTATTCCAGAAGTTTGGTCCTTAAGGGGTTAAACAGACTTCGAGATGGTTCTGAATGAAGCTCACTTGCTACATATCTGCATATATATTCATATATATAACGCTGCAGTCTTCACCAACTAGCTAGAGCTGATCTAAAAGGTCTCAGAAGTCTCTGTATATTATATCAATGTCTGAGCCTGTCCTGATTATCTGCAGTAGGGAGGTCTCTGTATATTAAATGAATATATATTATATGAATCCAGCACTATCTCAGCCTGTCCTGATCATCTGCAGTCAGGAAGTCTCTGTATAATAGATATAAACCCAGCACTCTCTGAGCCTGTCCTGATAATCTGCAGACTGCCCATGTATATTAGATAGCTCTGTGTCTCTCTGACGCTGTCATTGTGTGTAAATAACAGGCTCTGTGTGTATGTACACAAGGCGTGGAGGGTTTGTATTGCAGTCTAATTAATCATGAGCGTATATAGGCCACACAAATAGCCACTTTCCATTTCAAGGAGCTTAAAGGATCACTGTAGTGTCAGGAAAACACTATATCATCCTTAGGGTCCCCCCACCCTCAGGGCCCCCATCCCTTTGCCCTGAAGGGGTTAAAACCCCTTCAGCTACTTACTTTAATCCCCGCTGACGTCAACTCTCAAGTGGAGCATAATGCGCATGCGCAGCAAGAGCCGTGTGCGCATTCAAACAGTCCATAGGAAAGCATTTCTCAATGCTTTCCTATGGACGTTCTGCACGCTGGATGTGATTTTCGCATCCAGCGTAACAGAAACGCCTCTAGCTGCTGTCAGGAAGACAGCCACTAGAGGCTGAATTAACCCTGCAATGTTTTTATATCTGAAGGGTTAAAACCTGGGGGACCTGGCACCCAGACCGCTACATTGAGCTGAAGTGGTCTGGGTGACTATAGTGTCCCTTTAACTTTGTCTACACAAATTTAGTTTTCTATATAATTTCCAAAACTAACCAGTGGCAACTTCGTAAGAACGTTTCAGCTGCTGGCAAGACAGGGTTAAAACATGTTACAAATTTTACAAAGGTTTGGTTTCTAAAGTCCAGAGATACAAAATTTAACTTCTTCATAAATGGAGCTCAAGGTTGTTGAAGTTTGGCCACAGTATTGACGAATTTGGTGGGCAGTTGATTGAGGCTCTGGGCGATGTACTGTATTAATGCTCAGGCTGAGGAAATAGTCTGTAAAGACAAGATTCATCAAGACCATATCAAGTTATAGCAGAGCCTTATTCTGTGTCAACACATGTTTTGTGAGAAAGCTTAGTTTTTATGATGACAGAGGGATTTTTTTTTTAAATCCTTATCTACAAGGCTGCTAACACAACAATGTTATAAAGTCACTCTTGTGATGATACTGTATCAATGGCCTCCTGCATTAGTGCAGATTTTTATAGTCTGACTGTTGAGGGAGGAATTCCAGGTAAAGGGTAAGAGATGAAGTGGCTTTTTTTAAGGCACACACCAAGCATGTACACGAGTAATGCATATGAGTAGTAATGGATTCCCTGAAACTCCTTGTGAGTCTATAACGCACACTCCTGTGCCAGGATTTGAGGATAAACAAAGCACTGCTGGCATGGCTCCGGCTGTTCAGAGTGTTGCCACAGGCTTCCACAGATACGGAACGCCAGATCTTCGGAAGATCTTCCACCAGGGGAAGATATCCAAAGGCTGGGGGCCTGGTGGGAATAACCATGTGTGAACCACCTAATTCATCTCCAAACTACCAAATCCCTGTCCAGACAACCACCAAACCCCTCCTACTGCTTCAAGAGCAGTAGGGGGGTGCACTTCTTTGTTAAATGTAATGTACCTCCTTTAAATCTAATATTATTATTATTATTATTATTATTATTATTACTTTAAAAGTCATTCATTGATAATCGGAGGCGCAGTATTCTTTCAAACGTTTTAGGTTTTGACAAACCACTTACTATTTAGTCCAAACAAATAAATTAGGAAGAGGAGCGAGTGCCTACCTGTGTTCTGTTTTTCGTTGATTACAGTCCTACATTAAAGGACCACTATAGTGCCCTGAGGGTGCCCCCACCCTCAGGGTCCCTATCCTGCCGGACTGGATGGAGAGGAAGGGGTTAAACCTACCTCTTTCTCCAGCGCCGGGTGGGGAGCTCTCCTCCTCCTCTCCTCCCTCTTCTCCTCCTCTTCGGCTGAATGCGCATGATTTTCACAGTGAGAAGCACGCAAGCGCCTCTAGCGGCTGTCAAGAGACAGCCACTGGAGGCTGGATTAATCCATTTATAAACATAGCAGTTTCTCTGAAACTGCTATGTTTATGTAAAAAAAAGGGTTAATCCTAGCTGGACCTGGCACCCAGACCACTTCATTAAGCTGAGGTGGTCTGGGTGCCTATAGTGGTCCTTTAAAGGTGAACATGACCGTATCTTATTCGCTTTTCATTTTCTTCAGTAATATCTGTAAAGAGTAATGAATATTATAGTAATTAATAATATAGTATTAGATTAAGATGCTTATATGGTAAATATTTTTCTGCTAAAGAGCCAGGAATAAAAATCAATTTGTGTAATTTTCATGGTAAAATCTACGCACTGGGGGGGCGGGGCCTGACCGCCAAACCGAGCGGACGCACTACACATCAGCTCCGGACCAAAATTCACATTAATGCCCAAACTCACTGCTCGGTAGCCCTTTCAGGCTGATGACCTACGACCGGAGGCTCCTGGGCATCTCTAGAAACAATTAGGGATCCGGAGGGCCTTGGGCCTTGCGGGGGAGGCAGCCGATCCTCCGGCCGGGCATACCAGGAGTGCGACAAGGGCCCTGTTCCCCCCTCCCCCCCCCCCTGTGGTCTGGTGGAGGTTATCCAGGACCCCACCAAGATACCACTCACCTTGGTAAAGCTGCAAACGAGAACCATGGCTACACAGCCTGCAGAGACTCGAATCAGCCGGAGCTCATCCAACATGGCCGCCAAGCTAAGGCCAGAGAGAGGGAGCATGGGCAGCCATTCACACTCTTATTCCCTACAGGCCCTTGACCGGCTCTACTCGAGCCTATGCGTGATACTATGTGACGGCGGAATGCCATACCGTCAAGCAACCTGTGTGGTGGCCTCGTGGATTCGTCCTGCGACCCGCCGGCACCATTATGGATTCCCACTGCAGACCTTCAAAGCGGCCATCCAGCCACGCAAGCATCGATGACCACAATGGCAGGAAAGGGACCCAAGCGACCCGGGCGCACGCGCCCGCTCCCACACACACAGGTTTGAGACCGCCGGGCAACCCCAAAGTCCAAGCAACATACCCAAGTACAGAACCTCAGGCCAGCATGTAACCACTCTGCACTCCAGGGCTAAAGCGGAGCATCACGCTGCAGCACTGGCGAAAACTAAGCAGAATCCAGCTGGAGCTGGGCCCAGACCAAGGGACTCCATGCAGACCACTGAGACTACTTACCCACAATGGCCAACCCCGAGGGGGCACCTACCATGCCGCACAAGTGCACATAGCACCCAAGAGACCCACACTCAGCACCAACAGCCCAGCAGGGCAGACATCGGCCCAGACACCTCTCCCGGGCCCCGGAGTGGATTCCTGAGCAACAGCACTGACTCTCTGGGCACCGGGCTATACTGCCTCACAGACTCCTCTCTCTCTCTATAAAACCGCATATGCTGTTGGCGAACTATGAGTTGGAAGCGTAAGCTCAAGTGAAGTCCTACTCACACCCTGATCTGCCAGGCAAAACAAATAGTTTAACATTAATTTAACACTGTTTTTCTTTTACCTTAACATGCTACATAGGCAAGTAACTTACAACACTAGCCTGCTTCACATAAGTTAGCGACACTTTACTATACTTTAATCACCATGCCTAGCTAGCCTCCCTGAGTTAATATAAATGTATATTCCAGCTTGGACATGTGGAACTAGCCTGCTCCCACTCGAGATTTAACTTAATTTTACTCCACTGTCGTCTAGCTTAGCGCACTTATAACTACATTTACTGCATAACGATGTGTAGCCAGAATCTAGGAAGGGAGTGTTTAACCCTGTCTACCCCAGTTACATACTGCCTCGCCCTAGCCTGATTGGTACCCCCATTATCAACGAAGTTATTTTATGTTATGGAAGAGACTAAGTAATGATAATACACACTTTTTATTACTCGACTTAATCATCTATATGTATAAAAATGTGCTAGCCTTAACAAGTACCTCTATGCCTTACTGTTTGAAATGCGCTAGAGGATTGCCTTTGGGGTACCTCACAAGCGACTGTTACACACTTACGCGCTACAAAAATAAAGAATAAAATTTTTTTTTAAAAATTTACGCACTGACCATTGATCTTGGTATAGTTTGTAGTCAAGGCTTTATAAACGTGCAGGGTCAGCACACACGGAACATGAAACTGCCACATTTAAGTAACTATAGAGTTAACTTGGGTTTTGGCAAATAAGCCAATTCTGAATCACAGAATTCAGCAGTAGTGCAACTGACCCGCCTAAAGATTCTGTTCCATCTCCCATGTGCTGGCTGGCTGTATGACCTTGGCACTGCTGCTGTTTATTAATGAAAAATAATAAAAAATGTTGTTATACTCAGCCACTCAGCTGATGGATTACAGGTTAAACTAATAATGAACTTGTATGGCGAGAATTTTGCGCCGTAAAATGATTATAATTGCTGGTATGTCCTGCAAGTGGCATAGCGATGGCATAATCTGGGCATTTTTACACTTTGGCTTTCCACTTATGAGCGACACCCAATTTGAGGCTTCCTGTTTCAAGCCTCAGACTCAAATGTATGTTAAGGGGGGCAGAGCTGAACTGTGCCGGCGACTTTTGGGTTAATCCGTTTGTTACCACTTTAAACCCTGAAGATAAGGTGTCGCCAGGGCTGGTTTAAGAGCCCATTGGGCCTGGTGCTGCGAATTATGATTTTTATCAACAGAAAACACTAAACCAGTTATATCTCCCGAGCGTCATGAATCTGGTGCTGGAGGGAAGCACACAGGATATAGCTATCAGAAAACGCATACCCTATGCTAATCTCTCGCTTTCATCTTTCAAATAAATCCATACCCCCTAACAGCAGTGTCCGGTGAAGCAGGATTACGGTGGGCGGGGTAAAAGGGTGGGCCACCTATGTGAATCACGTTACCAGGACCGCCCAAAGGGACAAACATAACCAAAGAGGGGGCATGTCTGCACGAAGAATTTGATGGACAGTCTGGCGTGAATGCATGTCACACTGCCTGCCAATCATGCAGGATGTCCAACCAAGGGCATACTGCGCAGACAGCACCATGAGCTTGGCATAAATGCTTCTAATGATGCATTATCTCTACGCTTTCTAAAGAGTGTCCCCTAGCACTTGCTGGTTCACTCCTCTCCTAATCTTCTTACTAACAGGCAGCAGCTCCTGTGATACAGTCTGGGACAGATAGAAAGTGTATGTAGTGAGTGTAGAAATAAAGGAACATGCCGCAATGTTAGAGAGACTGAAGCAGCAAGGGTATTTGCATAGTGTGCAAAGTCAGCTTTACATTAACTAATTTCGTTGTCAGCCAGTCCACACGTTTGGTTCCTCTACATCCCTCTTAAGTTTCCATACTTAGGCAAGAGCATGTGAAGAGTAGTAAAAAAAATTCTTAATTTTTATTTTATTTTTTATCAATGGGCCTATTCCATGGGCATGGGCCGGGAGCTGCAACTCCATCAGCCACTATGTTAATCGGGCCCTGGATGGCACCAGGGACCTGTTGGAACCATAACAGCTAAATTCCAATGAAGTTATATTACCCAACATGTTTCTTTAAGTTGTTATTTAACAACGTCATGAAAGCATAAACACCGTGCCATATCCATTGATATATTAGAGCAGCGTCCCCTGGGCAATAATTCTGCCTTTTTGTAGAAGGGGTAGGGTACACCTGCCATTTCAAAAGCCTTATTGTGATTCTCCAACTCTCTAAACATGAGCTAGCCATAAGTTTAACACTAACAGTGTTATTTTTGATGGTGCCGCTCCTTGTGTGTGTTTGCTATTTCAATCTTGTTGACATAACGCTCAGAATTTCAATAAGTATTGTCAGAATTTTTACATTCCATGCATTAATAGCAATTTTGTGTGTGTATGGCTGTCTTGTAGTTCATGAAGGGTTCAGTATAACTGTGTGGTTAGGATAGCCTAACGTCTATGAGGGCAATTTTCATGGTCGTTCTAGTTTGGCAATGTGAGGAAGAAGGATACTGGTTACATTTTGGACAGATTCACATCTCTAGGGCCTGTAGGCACCGACGGCTCAGGCTCTCCTACCTCTCCACCAAAAAAACAGTTCTCTGTTTTGGACGGCTCTATGGTTTGGAAGAGGCAAAAGAAAGTCTTGTGGCAAAATAAAAAATCCATGAAATTATGAAAGGAAAAAACATACATTTTGTTCTTAGTGGAGGCACCTCAAATTCACAGGCACCTATAGGCAGCTGCCTACTCGGCCTATGAGCAATCACTGTATATGTGCTTGTTACACTGTATATGTGCTTGTTACAGGAGAATGGTGTAACTGTGTGATGGAGATTCTAATGCTGTTGCTAACCTAAAAGAAGGGGAGGCTGGTTTTCATTTTGGCTACACTATATCTCTTCCTGGATACAGTTATGGTGTAACTGAGAAGAAAGTGAGGCTGATTCTGGTGTCGTAGAACTACAAATCCCATGATGCTTTGCATGCCTTTAGAATAACAAAGCACCATGGAAGCTGTAGATTTAAAACATCTGGGTTCTAAATACTGGGCACCTGTGCTCTAAACAAAAACAGTTCCTTTTGGGGGGGATTTATCACTATTTTTGGTTGAAGTCACTCTTTATTCTCTATATTTGCCATGTTGTAATTGAGAAGCTGATTGTGCTGTTGGTTACACAGTGTACATGCTATAGCTATGTTAGGTTGGGTATGGTCCTCTAACCGACTGTCTATTTCTCTTTTCAGGTGAACCCCGGAAGTATGATCCAAACTTCAAAGGTCCGATCCATAACAGGTAATAATGAGATTGGTGGCAAAGGAGGCTATAATTTATTCCAGCAATGCTGCTAATATAATGTATTAAACCTTTTACAGTAATTCAATAACATAAAAACATGATGAAAATACTGCTATGGGTGGACATTTAATTCTGTTTAAAACCACATTCCACTGCTAAGAGAAATGTAGGATGATGTGTGAGATAGAATGCTTGTCTTTGCTCATCTGCCTTTAGAGTTGGAAATTCTGGGACAATTGTTGAAACAAATTTTTTTTTCTCTCTCTGAATTACTGTTACTAAAGTAGAATTGTCTCAAAACTCGAGATATGTTGATAAACAACAGTAAATTCTGAATTTGTATAAATTGGTCATTACATCAGATTGTTGACATACAAAAGCTGACAAAGGACGTGACAAGACTAAAGCGCCACCATTTGTCAACCTGGAGGCCCCAAATAATGAAATGTAGTCCCAAATATTCCTTATGTATATCTCAAAAATATTGCCGGGGAGCATGCCAATACAACAAAAAAATAAGTGACACACGATAAGGACAAGATTGTGGTCCTTAAGTGTAGTGTGTGTTTTTATTATTTGGTCGTTCCCCCATCCCCTTTTTCTTCCCTTTTAGCAAAACTATAGACATTCAAAAACCACAGCATTAATATGAGGGTAAAACGTACCAATTATATTTAATTTGTGATAATTCTCAGTGTTTCTTCATCGGATTATGAATAAAGTCCTTTAGTGGGTTAACTGCTTTTGATTATTGCCATATTTTTTTTTTAATTTTATTTTTATACTTTTTTTTTTCTTTTTTTTTTTCTAAATTGTGATGACTAATGCATGACATGTGGCGTTTTGGTTTTTCCCCTGTTTAAAATTACGTTTATTTTCCATAATAGACAATGGATGCCATTGTTGTGACACATCTTATTCATTATTTGGGAATAGTCTCTGCAATAGATCTTTTAAGCTGGATGACATTTGATTCTTTGATACTTGTCTTTTCTTAGCTGTGCATTCTACGTAGGTTTTTTTATTCTAATAAACTGAACAAAGCCTTTTCAGCTACTGATTGGTGCTTAATAAACAGTAAAACAGAGTATCCCTTAAAACATTTTGCTGTATCACTATTTCATAACAGTGTGTCTCTAAATAGACAAATGGCGTATCGATGTGCAGTACTATGCTCCCGTTCCAATGTGAATCATAGGGTTTCATTCACTAAAAGTGGACATGTTTGGCAAATAAATTGGCAGCATGTTAAAAAGACAGACTGGAAAAATTTTCAACGTGGCCATTTTGGTCTGAAATTTTACAATTGTCTACGTTTCCCAGTGTAGTAAATAAGCCCCACTATGCCCAAAGCTAATTAACCCATGTAAAAGCCACCCAGTAATGGAAGCTGTAACTGGAATACTACCAGGTCCGAACCACGCTGTTAGAACAAGGGTGTCTAGCCTTGGCCCTCCAGTGATTGTAAGACAACTTTTCCCATAAGATCAAGAATATTTTTTTTTTTTTTACATTGTGTTTTGTTTCTTTTTGTCTTTTCTTTTTAACCCATGTTAAAGGACCACTATAGTGCCAGGAAAACATACTCATTTTCCTGGCACTATAGTGCCCTGAGGGTGCTCCCACCCTCAGGGACCCACTCCTGTCGGGCTCTGGGGAGAGGAAGGGGTTAAAATCTTACCTTTCTCCAGCGCTGGGCGGGGAGCTCTCCTCCTCTTCTTGTGAATGCGCATGCGCGGCAGGAGCTGCGCGCACATTCAGCCAGTCTCATAGGAAGGCATTCACAATGCTTTCCTATGGACGCTGGCGTCTTCTCACTGTGATTTTCACAATGAGAAGCACGCAAACGCCTCTAGCGGCTGTCAATGAGACAGCCACTAGAGGATTTAGAGGCTGGATTAACCTATTTATAAACATAGCAGTTTCTCTGAAACTGCTATGTTTATAAGAAAAATGGGTTAACCATAGCTGGACCAGGCACCCAGACCACTTCATTAAGCTGAAGTGGTCTGGGTGCCTAGAGTGGTCCTTTAAGCAAGGTCATCAGACACTCTTTTTTACGCTATCTAGAGATTAAAAGACACTCTAAGCAACAATTTAAGCACATATTTGTGAATTGGGCTGTGTTAAAAGTAATGACCGCTGCAGTATGAATTTAAAGCCATCTCAATCTTTCTATGTGACGATTGGAATTGTAGCTAGGGAATAAGCCTCTCATCCAATAAACAACTGCTGGAGAGAAGTTTATTATGACAGTGGTTCCCAAGGCAAACTTCAAAACGTGAAGAATCTCCGAGACACACCAACTTATTCTTATAACTTTTATCAGTAACTCCTGAATCTCACATTTACTGGAGAGAGATGCTCCTCGTCAAACTTATTTATTGGGTTTTAATTATCAGCCAGATACACAGGAAGCTCATTTTTTAATGCTGACCCTTTATAAAGACAAGCTTTTTTTTTTTTAAGGACTGCACTCCTATTACAACCTATGACAGTCTTAAATGTAGTTGCATTTGTGGCACACTGGTTGACTTCAGAGATCAGAATGAGAGGCTCCTGATTGTTGGTGCCACTTCCTGGTTTTGGTTGAGCATACTTTGCATGATGAAGATGGATATCAAATGACTTTCATAATTTGTCCATTTAAAGTCCTTGTCGCATACACACACCACCATAAATATTTTATAATAATCACAGGTCCCTTTAAAAAAAACAAAAAAAAAAACCCTTTGTTTGACCCTGGCTTGGAATAATGAATCAAAAATTCTTGCATTGTACGTGACAATATGTATCTCTCTTTTTGGGCTGCTTATCAGATAAGATGGTATCTCTGTTCTCACAATGCTGTCAGATAGTTCTAAAAACACCATGTGGACAGTTTAAATTTTAAAATGCTGCAATCCGCTCTGTAATCTTTAGTGCTCACTCACAGGAAATGACAGAATGCTCGTAACTCCCTTCATTACCAAAAACGTGTATAATTGTATATATTGATTTTCAGTTGGATCACCTCTCTCTATTAGGTCTCTGCAAATAGGCCAAAAATGCCCCTGACATGACATTACAACCATATAAAAAGGCATCCTTGGCATTTCATTCAGATTAACCAATTTTCCATAATTCTGTGGTGCAGTAAGCTTTCCTCAGTTGTGTTGATTTGATGGGGGTGTGGGGTAGTGGGGGAGTAGTTAGGTGGATAAGCTACATACCCATTAAGATTAACAGCAAATCAAAGTGAATTCATGACCGTAGGAGTGTGCCTGGGTGGTATCCTTGCACATTGGCTTCACCATAACCATTGGGATGCTCTAATTAAAATTATCAGAAAGGCATGCATGCTATTACAGGAACTGAAATTTCAGATTTTTCTGATTTGGAAAGAATCTGAATTTTTATTAAATGACAGAAGGTCTATATTTCACTTTAAAATTAAAACAAAAACAAAAAAACGGGAAGGTTTTCTTCTGCTCGGGTGGCTCCACAAGGCTAACGGAAGTAGCTGGAGCGCTAGGCTGGAGCATGCCTGCTCTCTTTCCCTTCTCAATGAGCTGTATGTCAGGGTCTTACCTGAGATGGGAGTCTTTAGTGCAGATAGACACAGTCCAAGGTGACCAGGTAAGAAGCCACCTGGACTGTAAATCTGTGCACTGGGGCTGTGAAAGGATTCCAATGCAGTACCAACAAGGATAATATGAGGTCAATATGGAGTTGAAGATCAAGAGACTGGAACATAGGAACAGAACGTTATTTACACACAGGAGGCAGGATCTGGAAGGCTATTAAAGGACCACTATAGTGCCAGGAAAACATACTCATTTTCCTGGCACTGTAGGGTCTCTAGGTCCCCCCCTCCTGCCGGGCTCTGGGGTGAGGAAGGGGTTAAACACTTACCTTTTCTCCACCCCCAGGCTCCCTCAGTGGTGGGGACTCTCTCAGCCAGTCCATAGGAAAGCATTCTCAATGCTTTCCTATGGACACTGGCGTCTTCTCACTGTGAGAATCACAGTGAGGAGCGCGGAAGCGCCTCTAGCGGCTGTCAATGAGCCAGTAGAGGCTGGATTAACCCATAGGTAAACATAGCAGTTTCTCTGAAACTGCTATGTTCACAGCAGAAAGGGTTAATCCTAGATGGACCTGGCACCCAGACCACTTCATTAAGTTGCCTATAGTGGTCCTTTAACAGAGTAGGAGATACGAAATTAATCAAGTGTGTACAGAGACTGTGTAAGTCACGTGTAGGGAGGTGTGACAAGGGCTGCATAAACAAAGTAACATTTGAATACTGGGAAGAAAAATTATATTTTAATTAACCCCTTAAGGACCAAACTTCTGGAATAAAAGGGAATCATGACATCTCACACATGTCATGTGTCCTTAACGGGTTAAACAAATTATTTTTATTTTTTATTTATTTTTTGGTCTGGCTTTAGGCCCAGTATTGCAAAAATTACAAAACAAAATGGCCATGTGCGGCTTCAGTATCCCATGATACCTATGCTCCATATAGATGGAGGTTGTTTTGGAAGTAGTTTTTTTTTCAGATGAGGCAGGATGCAAACTTCCATTTGGCATGTCTTTAAACTGGCAGAGACTGCAAGTCATCATCTGTTCCTGCAGATAAACCAGAGTGTAAATCCTTGCGATAAAATGGTCTTAAAATGTTTCTTTTTTTTTTCATTTTACAGAAGCTGCACGGATATCCTGTGCTGTATACTTATTGTACTTGGCATCATTGCATACGTGGCTGTAGGAATTGTGGGTGAGTACACCCTGAAGCGTGTCAACAACAGGCCTGCAAAGAAACTGGTTACATTTCTGAACTTAATATATTTGCATGTTTCGTACTCCACACTAAAACTGTAAAACCACTTCCTATATATATATATATATATATATATATATATATATATATATATATATATATATATAGTAATAAAGCATTAGTTATTTATTAAGGGTGTTGGGTGTTGTTTAGATGTTTTGTTTTTTTTCATAACTTTGTTTATTAAGGTTCGCTGAAAAGTAAATTATAGCTTATAGAAATGTAGATGTAAAGGGTAAATCGCTGAAAGCATAAAATGTAAAGCAAAAAATTTTTAAATAACAAAACATTTCGAAGTTTTTACAGCATTACATTTTCACTTTAAATATAAAGCTGTCACAGTGCTCTGATCTACGTGTGAGGGGCGTTGCTGTGCTATGATAGTCGTGGTGCTCGGATTTATTTGCAATGGGTACTTGTTTTGCTCTGATTTGTGACATGTGAAGTAGCAAGGCTCTGATTTATTTGCAATGGGTAATCACTTTGCTCTGATTTGTGACATGGGAAGTAGCAAGGCTCTGATTTGTGTGAGGGCAATCGCTTTGCTCTGAAGCCGGTACAATGGTCGTTAGCAGGGCTCTTATTTATTTGTAATGGGCAGTCGCGGTGTTCTTATTTGTGTGATGGGCAGTCACTTTGCTCTGATTTGTGTGCGGGGCAATCGCGTTGCTCTAATTGGTGTGAGGGGCAATCGTAGTGCTCTGAAGCAGGTACAATGGTCATTAGCAGGGCTCTTTATTTGCAATGGGCAGTCGTGGTGCTCTGATTTGTGTAAGGGGCTGTTGTAGTGCTCTGATGCAGGTACGATGGGCAGTTGCAATGATCTGATTTGTGTGCTGAAATGTCAAGGACTTTAGAAACCAGCTATTTCAATGTCCTGTCATGTCATGTTCAGACTCTCTTGTTAAAGGGATACTCGAGTGCTAGGAATACAAAGTGTATTTCTGGTAATATCGCTCCTTCTCCCTCGCACCCACCCTCCCCTGTAAATCAAGGATTAAAAACAGCCACTGGAGGCAGACAAAAAAAAAAATGCAATGTAAACAATGCAGTTTCTCTGGAACGGCAATGTTTAACATTGCAGCACTAAGTGCGAAAGGACAGTTCCCTCACACCACTTCAATTAGCTGCAGTGGTCTGGGTGCCTATAGTGTCCCTTCAAAGATCCTCTCCAAGTAGGACTGGTCATGTGACGTAATGCCACATTTGGCCAATATTGTTTGTTCACAAAACTCCTCTAATGCCTCTCATGTGCAAGAGCCGTTGGCAGACAGAAGGGCCACATTATCTGGACTGTCATAACAAAATCAAGATGCTTGCCAACTATCGGTTATACATGTATAGATCTTCCCATCCCCTCCTATCGCACATTGAAGGAGAGTCACCTAACAGGCAGAGTGCAATCCCTGTCTAATTCACTGCAGTATAAAGGTTACGTGAAAACCAGACTCTTCCACTTGTAATCAAGATAAAGGGAAACGTTTACTTGGATTTTAACCAAACAAGGTGGAGTGGTCAATAGCAAGGTTGTATATATTATTCAGAGAGCCGTTTGGGCACTCCTTAGATTTAGTGTTTGTATTTGTCTGTTTGTAGGGTTTCCTATGAATCGTGGTCTAGTTGGCTACACGGGAAGTGGATAACCTGTTTCTATAAAGTATTTGCAGATCCCTGAGGCTTGACAAATAAACATAGAAACATAGAAACATAGAATGTGACGGCAGATAAGAACCATTCGGCCCATCTAGTCTGCCCAATTTTCTAAAAACTTTCATTAGTCCCTAGCCTTATCTTATAGTTAGGATAGCCTTATGCCTATCCCATGCATGCTTAAACTCCTTTACTGTGTCTGTATAGATTGTGGTCTCAATCTGCGCTGAATTAAATATGAATCGCAAACATTCTATTTGATTATCGGGATGTTCAGCTTGGTATAAAAAGAGAAAATGAACTTAAATCATAAGGTTATACTAATAGTTCATAAAAAAAAGGCTAATTGAAATGAATATATTATGGTGCTCCGTGTTCCTTTAATAAAACAACCGTGAGACTGATCACAGAACCTCTAATTCCTCTGTAAGCTGCAATCTAAACTCCTTGCCTTCATGACTCATCTAATACCAGTTTTAGCTGATTATTTCAGCTGGGCCGTCATTTTATTTTTAAACTCACACTACACTGCAAGATTAATAAAAGCTTTTACATGTGTATGGCGGAGCTCCAGTACTCAAGCTGACTGTTTTCAGTAGTCTCCCTCCCTTGGTCACTTTGTTGTGAATAGGACAACATATCTATACTGTACAAAATATGTATTCACCCTACAAGGAAGTGATTCACTATCTCTAATAACATTCTCCCACCATCCAGTCAGGGAACTGGGAGAGTGGAGCCCTAAAACCCACTCGCAAAACATTGGAACTCCTACAAACAAGACATCCTTGGTTAGCTCTTCCCCTCAGCTTCCCTTTATGCAAAAAACACCCTTATTCTACATATGGTATTTAATTGCCAACCTGTCCGCTAAGTTCCGATACAGTGTATAGTTTAGTTGGCATTGCACCCCTGAGTCTCTCCCTTTTTGTTAGCGGGGTGTTTTAGCTACAAGACAGCTATAGACCAATAGACTGTGCTTGCTAGGGGAAGTTGGAGTGCCAGTTGGAGACAAACGGTGCTTTTTACTCGAACAAAGTCATTAAAAGGAACCAAAACAACTTTAGTGTAATGAAGCAGTTTTGGTGTATATATAATGCCCTTGCAGTCTCTCTGCTCAATTCTCTACCATTTAGTAGTTAAATCACTTTGTTTATGCAGCCATGGTTACACCTCCCTACATGGGACTTACACAGCCTTCCTAAACACTTCCTGTAAAGAGTCAACTAATGTTTACACTTCCTTTATTGCAATGTATGCATATTTAATTTAGAATTGTATGTTTATTTAGAATTTCTTATCCCCTGCTCTCTTAATAGCTTGCTAGACTCTGCATGAGCCTCCCAAGTGTAATTCAAGTTCAGTTTATAGAGCAGGAGATAAAAACTTTTAAAGTAAGTTTACATCTCATTAAAAATTAAAACTTTTTTCACGAAGGCTGTGAGTTTCAGCTAGATGTGGTTTGGCTAGGGCGAAATAAACAGAAACAAATTGATTTAACTCCTAACTGGCAGATACTTGAGCAGTGAGCCTACAGGGGCATGATCTATACACAAGGATTGCTTCATTAAGCTAAAGTTGTTTTGGTGACTATAGTGTCCCTTTAAATTTTGCAATC